ATAAATAATAATGGCCTCCAAACCGAATTTCAATCATGACGGAATGTTAACAAAGACAAGACATCGGCATAGGACATGATTATGGAGCCCAAATGTATGCGGAAGAACAGGTGCACTCACTATTCCTTCACTCTCATATTAATACGATGGGATGACAGTCTGACGCGATCGGAGAAAGATTAGGCGTAGGTAGGAGTTTACGTGCTTCCCTACGCACGGTGGTAAAACACCTCCAACTGCCTAACTCTGTGCTGCTATTGACAACTTCTTGACGTAATAACTCAATAACAGTTTTTCGGCCTAGCCCAGGATTCAAACCCGTGACCTCATTATGATTAATCGCGTTTTTTATAGGATAAGGGTGACAAATTAGCACATAGTCCACCCGATGATAAGTGGATGCTGTGGCCCATAGACATCTAAATATGGAATGCTTCGTATCCAGTGAAAAAGTACAGCAGCATTGATCAGCTATTTTACGTTGAAATTCTGTGAGAGCATGGTCCTTCACCGAGCCGAACCATTCGCATAATGTACCTGCAGCGTTGCTATAAATCAAGCTCAGAAGGGCTAGAATCCAGAGCCGTAAAACCAGTTAATAAATAAAAAATGCTATAAGTCTTGCGTCAAACGAGATACCACCATAATATCGAAAGGTACGAGATCACACATATCCCATAGTCGTCTTCAGACACTGGCGGGAAGAAATGGTGATGATGAATTAACTTATGCCGACACAACTCGGCAAAAATGGAACTATACTTATTAAAAATATGTTAAATATGCTAATTAGGTGTACTTAATTAGCACAAACAATAATAATATTGTTTCGTTATTAATTAAGCCAAAAGCAATGCGATAATTGTTTACGTATTTCTCGGGTGTACAATACGGGATGTAAGAATTTTGGAACATTTGAACTCTGTAACATTCATAAACACTCACGCCTGTCGCCAAGAGGGGTGGGCAGAGACTACGGACATCCATTTGGCACGATCCTGACATACCTCTCTCGCCTCCTTTACATCCATATACCTACGCATACATACTCGTCGGTTAACGGTACTCCTAATCTGGCCAAATATAGTATATTAATTAACATTACTAATATTCCTTTTAACACTCCTTAATCCTGAAAATGGAAGATCGATTCGCCTTTCTGGTCTATAAACCTTCGTCTAGGACGTCTCTTCCCGGCTTTGCCATTCATATCTGCAATATAAATTTGCTTTATCACTCTTTCCTCGTTCATTCTTTCTTCATGACCAAACTCCCGAAGCATTCCTTTCTTAATCCTGGTCACAAGATCATCATTTCTTGAGCTATGTATGTTGTTAAGATTCCGATTAGAATTATTCTTTGTCTATCTGATGCTTAAGGATTTTAAGAGTATTCCACCAAATTGATTATTGCGACAGCCAAGAAAAGGGGTGATGAATGCCCCTATTATTTATAGAATAAGGGCGACAAACGAGCACACAGACCATCTGATATTAAGTGGATGCTGTGGTACATAGACATCTGCATCTATCTTCCATAAAGGATCAAAACTAAAGAATCATTCCTGAGAACTGAATTCGAATGCCTCGTCTCCAGTAAAAAGAGTCTCCGTTTACACTCACCATACAAAACACATTAGCATAAAGCTGCTATTTTACGCTGGTATTATGTGAGAGTGTGGTGTTCTCTAATCTCGTTCGAGCCGACCTATTCGTGCTACAACTATATATACCTGCAGCATGGTTGTTCCACGTACAAAATATACATGGCAGATATAGCATTACATATAGTTACCGACACGAGTCGTGAGCACAGATAAACTGTGGTGGGAGGTAGGTACACTGTTGGGCAAAATTATTGGGTACCTTTATTATTTCAATTCGTAATTGCATATTTTCGCCGACTTTTACGAAAATGTTTACTCGAACACATCAACTTTTACTTTGATACAGTAATGTTGCAGACATTCGTGTCCGTTATTTTATTATCTACTATAAAGTATTTAATGTATACCTGGTGATTAGAATTGATTATTTTATTAAGAATAAGGAAGAGGTGATATGCCTTCCATAAAATCTGGTGTTGCGGTGCGCCGTATAGTGCTACTGAGACATTAGTCGCCTCAGCAGTCTGTTTATATACGTCTATGATGTTTTTCGCACTACCTAATTTTTTCATGTAACTAAACACTGAATAGACCATTTGTCGGGATTGTCTATTTAACACCGAATTCTTCCTTATCTGCATATTTGGACCAAAATCTGAACACTCAAAATAACAACAATACATATAATTATATAATCACCCTCCTGAAGAGGAAAGAGAGAACACCCCCCACTCTCATCCCTCCACACACCCCCTTTGGGAGGCCCCCCCCCAGAAACCCCCCTCGCCGACCCCCCCCCCCCCTTCCCTTTTTCCCCCCTTCTCAACCACAAAAAAAAAAAAAAGTAACAAAAACAATTAACGAAAATAAACTAATTAAAAAAGTTATCACTAAAATTATTGCTCTGAAGTGTACGGAAGCCGAATGATACATTCGAACCCAATAGACGACGAGAATCGACTGATGAACCAATCACGTTTAACGTCAGCGTGGTCAACGTCGTATCGACCAATAAAAAATGTGCTCACTACTTATGTCGGCAATTATACCATAATTATGACATCATCGTGAAAATACAAAAATCTTACAACAGAAGCAGAAGACAGAGGTCAATGTCAAGTGCCACACTAGATCGATAACCATACAATGAATCACAGTGTTTGAATTCTCTGACCATAAATCCATACACCACGCTCACACAATTGTTTTTCTCGATAAATCAAAAGTTTCGGTAAAAATTATCTTTGTGATAAATTGCTCGAGTGATTGCATCTTACTTTAATTTGATAAACCACACACATTCTATAAATCGTTGATCGTGATTACAAGATTTCATCAGCATACTTAATATTCAAAACAGGACCGGTCATATTTGTGTAAAATGCACTTAGAAGGAAACGTCTCTCCGTGATGTTCACTTTAATTTTTACAGGTTTAAATTAAAGTCATTGGCATCCATTGATAATTTTAACCTCTTACGAAAAAGAGGGTGTATTAACGTTAAAAACAATTTTTTAATTTTAACTTAAGTTCTTAAATTTTCAAATTAATTTTAAGTTATGAAATAAAATAAAAACCCCTCACAACAATTGTAGCTAATGAACGTCAAACGCTTGAAAAGATTTATCATAGCTAAGAAAACTCTCGATCAAGTCATTTTTTTATTAAAAAAAACTAAATCTACATCGGTTCATCCTTTAAGAGTTACGATGGCACATATAGACAGAAACACAGATACACACTTTAAACATATAACATCCCCCTTTTTGTTGGGGGGTTAATGATATAAATTAGTAACGACACGGAAAAAAAATAGCAACAAAAAGTAAGCAATGTACGAAAACATCGCGGTCTCGGACGAGTGTTGCTTGAGACGTGACGACAGACTTACGTCTTTGTTTAATTTGTTCCGAATACAGCCTTGAATTTGCCTTTAGGCCATTGTCTCTAATATTACTGATTAACAGTTTTTGCAACATTCTTAGAGTTCACGATTTATTGATGTTTTTTATTTATTTATCTAAGTACATTAATTTATCGAGTGTTTATTTGTGATAATTGTCTCTTGAATAATGAATAATACTATTTTTAAAGTATTCTTTTCCTGCAATATTATAACTTACTATTTGTGTAATTTTAGACCAAACGTAGTTTCTGTCCTGAGTACATTTTTTTTGTTGAAATGGATTTCATTGATAAGAAGAAGAAAGATGGCAAAAGCTGGATGAGGGTTGTTTGCCTAACGCGCCTATTGTGGCGTGCACTCCAGGAACGTATTTTAAAATGTATCCCTATAAATGTAGCCATCTGCGCAGGACAGGATTATAGTGTACAAATGTATGCGCTAGCGTGGCTGTACGCTCTATTTCCTGACTCTGGTCCTAAGGGACGTAGTAGGTCAATGTAAGGGACAGTAATCAGACACGACCGGAGAGAGATCAGGCGCGCGACCTACGGCTTTACGTGCTTTCCGAGGCACGGGGGAGTAAATCGCCAACTTCGGGAGGCTACTGAAAATTTTTTAATAGAAATACCAAATAACTGATTTTGGCCCGACCAATAATTCGAACCCAGGACCTCATGATCAGCAAACCGCGTGTGCGACCACTAAACCAACGAAGCAGTCATTTTTTTGTAAATATAACATACTTTTGTTAAACGCTAAACATCTGTTAAAATTGTTTTTTATGTCCTATATATTGCGATTGATGTATTTTTATTAAATGAATTTAAATGCCTATTTATGTATGTGGCTTGTTTGCAATAAATATTTTTTTCTTTCTTTTCATTTCCTTCTTTGATACAATTTCACCCTGTAAAAAAAAAACTGAAAAAGAATCTCTTTGGTTGTGTTTGTACCTGGCTGGTTTTAATATCAATATAATATGCTTTATATATACATATTAAAAAATAAACAAAAATTAAAAACACTTTCCCGCCATTTTTCATATGAACATTTCATACGTGGTAGAGCCACGCTGCAGCTATATTATGGTTGTAGCACGAAGGGGTCGGCTCGACCGGGGAAGGACCACGCTCTCACAGAATACCAGCGCAAAATGGCAACTCAATACTTCTGTGTTTTTTATAGTGAGTGTAGAGATTCGGAGACCCCTTTGCTGGAAACGAGGCATTCCATCTTAGTCCTCAGGGGTGACAACGGATCTGCGTTTTAATTCTTAATTGAGGATAAACGTAGATGTCTATGGACCACAGTATGCAAAAAAATCAAGAGTCATGTTAACCTGCCTTTTTGGGAAACTGGGTAAATGAAACGCCTATACAAGTGTTAAAAAGGTCTAGGTACCCTTGAGATCCCAATGAACCAGGTTTCACTGTATTATCATATGCTTACTTAAATGAAATATATTACAACTATCCTTTTCTTTTCCAGTCGGAGGATCGGTTTGCTGGGTACAAAGGCGTTCGCGACATAACTATCAAGAAGGTAATCTAACTTTATACTAATGTCTAGGGTTTCATTTAAGGTACAGGGAATGGTCCTTCTGGTCCATGACTTTAACCAGATCCAAAAAGTTGTGATGTTGGTGATCGAATATTAATCAATTATCTTAATCCTATCGATTAAAAACCTACAATTAATAATTTTGTTTTTACACAAATTTGAACCCGACTGGGATTTGAACTCAGGACATTTAACGGTATTTAAATACCATACTTTATTATTAATAATACTGGTCGATAGATATTTTTCTATAGACAACTTCTATTACCTGGGTGAAGACCTAGTGTTCTGAAATACGTAGTTTGTCCAAAAAGTTTCCAACCTAACAAAAATACAAGTATTGATTAAAACTGCTTTTACGGATTTTATCGCGTTTAATTTTAATTATTTTTATTTTTTATTCCCGACGTTTCGGATGGTTTCCAGCAGCCACTTCACGGGGGACTGAGGTGACTGACGTCCCGATGTCATTGTTAAACCGGGAGTACCTTCAGCTTTTTTAATTATTGTTTATGGTCCGATCTATGCAATCTATATATTTATAAAAGTAGTTTTAATAAATATAAGAAATCATTATAAAAATACAAGTATTTTTTTCTTAAAATTCATTTTTACTTTTCTACATAGTCTCCTTGTCTACACACTTGTAGCGACGCGTCCATCTCTCTAAACCGTCCAAATAGTACAGGGCCTTTATCTCTGTAAAATAATTGTTCACGAAGAGTATTGCGTCCTCATTTGGCGAAAATCTCTGTCCTCCGAGCGCAATTATTAGATGAGGGAACAAAAGAAGTTGCTTAGGGCTAGATTTGGTGAATAAGGCGGATGGACAAGCAGTTCAAACTGTAATTCGTGGACTTTCGCCATGGATACCGCTGAGGGGGAGAGCGCGTTGTCATAGTGAAACAGGATTTTCTTTTTCTGCAAATGTAGCCGTTTGTCCGCAATTTCTGCCTTCAGTTTGTCAAGTAATGATGCGTTGTATGCTCCTGTAATGGTTTTTCCTTTTTGAAGATAATCTATTAAGATAACTCCTTGACTATTCAAAAAACAGTCGCCATCACTTTCCTAGCCGAAGAAGAAGAAACAGTTTCCTAGTAGAAGAAACAGTTATTGCTTTTTATGGAGCCGGTTTCCCCTTTGCAGTCCATTTTGACTGTATTTTTGTTTCAGGCGTATAATGGTATATCCAATTTTTATCTACGGTATTAATTCTAGAGTAATTAATTTAAAACTCGGATTTATCGCTCCTAAACTGCGCCAACAGAGCGTTGGAAATGTTCATTCGAACACGTTTTTAGTCTAACGAGAGCAAACGCGGCACCCAACACGCTAACAACTTTCTTATGCCTAAATCTTGATTTAATATGTAACAAACACGTTCTTCGGACATTTTTATAGTCTTTGCTATCTTTCTCACATTAATTCGGAGGTCGTGTAACACCATTTGGTGAACATTAGCGATGTTATCGTCAGTAGCTGCAGTTTTTGGACGTCTCGAACGTTCATCGTCCCTCAAGCTCTCACGGCCACGTTTAAATTTAGCTGCCCAAAATTTTACTGTGGCAAATGATGGTGCAGAGTTTTTTTTTTGTTTTTAGTTATAAAAACGTCACCTCCACACTAGGATTTTCTCCTGTATCATGGAGGCAGTTTACAAACATACATTTCACAAGGACAAACATCCAGACCAACTTTACCTAAAGAAAGACTCCCATCAAGGGTCTGTCAACAATTAACTTGTAGGCCATACAAATACTTGTTCAGTGCGGGATCGAACCCGTGGCCCTTAGCGCTGTAACTCATTGCTAAGCCACTGCGCTACGAAGCCGTCAAGAGTCTACATACACAGATTTCAACTCATCTTTTATTTGCGTAGGCACATTGCCTTTCAAAAACATTAATTTTATGACAGTTCGATACTTTTTTTTTCTTTTTCGTAAAAATACTCACATCGACTACTCAGAGGACTGTCAAATAACAACTACACGTTAAAAATGTCTAAAATTTTAGTGCGTAACTGTCCAAAAATGCACAACTACATTCACTAGATTTTATTGACAAGTGCTGCCAGTTTCACGGTGAGTTCGGAACTCGGAAACTTTTTAGACCACCCCGGTACATACCTAAATACTGCTTAGTTTTGGCACCAGTTTAGCACAGTATACTAGCCTATTTACATATGTAAGGCTAGAGTAAATCTTTGGGTACTGTCTACTATACAGAAGGAAATATAACGCCACAAGAGTACACGTTACATTGTAACACACATCATCATCATCACCACTGCTGAACTCCTACAAGCAATTCCACAGAACAAGGCTTGAGTCATCTGCATCCATAGACTTCTCTTTATATTCCACTTACCGGTACCTACGAGGCTGCCACTAAGGAACCTTCCTTCTCCATCGGTTGCCGGTTCTTCGAGACATGTGACCGGTCCTACCCACCATGTCAAGCTCATTATAATCTACCCAAGCTCGATGTAACGCTTAAGTAGTAAGATCGGACGTAGGTTAGTACACAGTTAGAGACGGTAGAACAATCTTAACGCATGTCAATCATCAAGTGCAAATCCAAACCTTATTAAAGTTAATAGTCTATCGAATATAAGCACGCCATAGATATGTGTCATTCTTCCATTTCCAGTGACCTAATCATTCAAGTATTAATTCGTCTTACGAACCGGGTCATTCGGGTCGATCATTCAAATGGATCATTTGGATTTGGTTTTCGGACATTACTATATTGTTTGGTTGTAGGTCCTGTCAAACGATTAATCTGGAAACTTAAAAATTTAATTGCAATCATCAATACTTCGATGCGACCCGGGTCAAATTAACGAATCATTCACGATTGACACATGTCTAGCACGCCATATTCGTGGCTTGATCGAAAGGGGCAATTCGGTTACTTATGTTACTGCGGGTCTTTTTATCGCCTACTGTTTAAAACGATAAACAAAAGAACTTCAAAATCTGCAGGTTTAACTAAATTAGACTTAAACTAAAGATTTCGTGTGAGCGATTACGATTTTATTCGAGATCGAGGTGTCTATATTTAAATCGTCGCGGGCGTCACAGCAATTTATTTGTGTTTTTTCTCAACAAATTATTAACAACTTTTAGTAAATGGATGTAATAGCTGCTGTTCTTACAGTGGTGTTTACATTTATATATTTTACGTTACATAGCACTAGGCATTCTGCCATATAATGAGCTCAAAGGGCCGGAGTTTCTATAGGTACTATTGGGCGAACGGCTGGGTAGAGGAATACTTCTTTAGTATTAATTTGGTGAATTTCACAAAAAGGACCTTTAAAAATAGCCAGGAGAAAATTTTGCAAAATTCATACTACAAGGTTAAACTTTTTCATAATCATTTATCTCGTTATAATAAAAATATGAATTACTTCGAAACCTTCCGCTAACTAAATACAATGATGTGTCTTACCTGGATTGAAGAGCACCTCCCGCCCTCCCGCAATTGCATGCACTAACTCCGTCACCGCTAGTCCCAGCACCACTACTCCCAACACCACTACTCCCGGCACCACTACTTCCAACACCACTATTCCAGGTAAGACATACCATCGATGATAATACGACACGTGTTTCGCCTCTACACGAGGCATCCTCAGGTGATGTAGACTCTACTGCGAACTCAGTGGAGACTAGCCATCGGCGCTGAACAGGATTATAATGCCCAGGATTATAGTAGGTAGTGTTGTTAGTCTAAACTAAACTAAATTTTGATTAATTTCCAGGGTCCGGCGGGCTTAGGCATCATGATAATAGAAGGTCGGCACCAGGAGGCTGGTCGTGGGATATTCGTGTCGGATCTACAAGAGGGTAGTGCCGCGGAACAGGTAAGTTAAATCTGAAAAGAATAGCGTTAAGCGACTGTGAATGATCTGGTTATTCAAATAAACTGCTGACACTGATCCATATATATAAATAAAATTTAAAAAAATAAAAATTTTATTAAAATTGATGGAGTGATTTCGGAGGTTACATGAACGAACAACACGGAATTTTTATATATATTAAGTTACGTATATGTGATAATTTTATAACTATGTATTTTCCTCACGATTATTCGACCAGTGAGCCCATCGGCAACTTGGCAGGCTGTTGATTACTAATTTGGGTCCATCATTTGAATTAGTTGAATGATTGATAAAGTCGAAGAATTCGAATGGAATCATTCATAGTTGTGCTTTTCTTTACGAGATATGGTTGTTCAGAGGTTTCACATTTGCCTTATATTACAGAGTAACATTTTTATTGCTGATTACAGCCATCATCTTTAAAAACCATATCATTAGACGTTGGGTGATATAGACAAACTACTATTTTCTTTTAATCATTGTAATAGCATAACAGTAACAATTTACCTCGATTAAAAATAATTCGATTCGTATACTACCTAGTTAATTTACTAGAAATTGCTGCTTCATTATCCAGCTCGAAAGACCACAGGTTTTACTACTCATTTGAACGGAAACTTGGCGTTAGAACACATTTATTAATCGAATATAATAGAATTTATAAAGAGAATAGATAATATCGAAATCGATATTATCCCTTCAATCCTCATAAAATTCCCATACAGTCGCATGCGCCTGACAAATCCCGAGCGGTCGCATGCGACAGGAGATTTGCCAGGCGGGACAGCACTTAACTTTTGCGGGACAACACTGAAAACCATTAAAACTATTATATATTAATATTTAGAGACTAATTTTCTATGAAGAAGTTTGGCATTATAAAATCTATACATAATTCTCTATCCTGTAGTCTAAACACAAAAACAAGTTTTACTTCATTACAAAAAGATTTTATTGAATTTTAATAACAAAAAAATATACCAAACGGCAGCGGCCGCGTGAAAATCAAAATTATTTCTTTATATTACTCGAAATCATTTACGTAAAAAGATAAATTATATTCACACAAAAACTTTTTTAATAAAACACTAGAAAAATCATCAATCACAACAACATCCAAATGAAAACGGCGTACGTAATGAACGTAGAATATAAATTATTATCCATTGCCTAAATGGTTTTTTATTCCACTAGAGGATAGAAAATTTCATATTGATTCTATAACGCCAAACTTCTTCATAGAAAAGTAGCCTCTAAATATAATTTTTTATAGGTTAAAGTGCTGTGGGTGGGTGCGGTCGTATTTGACCGCTTGAATTTTGACGGAATATCGAAGCGGTCAAATTTGGCCGCTTGGTGTTTGCGAGGTTAAGTTTGCTGCATTTTTGCTTGCCAAATTCACTAAAGGAGAAAACTTAAGGTGTAGCCTTGGTGTCCGACTGTCTGTTATGGAAGTTTTTCTCTGAAATTGTTTTAGAGAACTATAATTTAGTATTACTTTATTGATTTGTAACATCAAAAATTGTTGTACGTTTTTTAAGTATTTACTATAAAAGAATGGTAATGATACTTATATTATTTGAACAGTATAGCGCAATAGATGTGCATAAAAAATTATGTGTTGTTACACATGTGCTTTCGTTAAGATAGGTAGAATAAAGTGTGATAACACGATTTTGCCATACAAAACTTTAACCAATTAAATAGTCGAATTTTCAACTGACGAGATATAAGCAGTAATGAAGTCTGATGCCACGAACTACTCTGCGCTTAATAAAACTTGACCGATTTTTTCGTTCGTAATAAGGCGTGACTAAGCCTCGTTTCTTCTTTTAAATTGTTATATCCTTCTATTATATTTATTAACAATTTGTTTTTATTTCTTTCAGGCCGGTATGCAAATTGGTGACATGATTTTAGCCGTCAACAGAGATTCTTTATTAAGCTGCAGTTATGACGCCGTAAGTACTACAGATAAAAACAAATTAAACTGTTTTTATGTGGGTTTACAGACATAATATATACATAAACACTCACGCCTGTCACCCGGAAGGTTAGGCAGAGCCTACGGATTTCCATTTGGCACGATCCTGACACACCTCTCGCGTATACCCACGCATAAATATTTGTCGAAGAATACCCTTCTTCTCTCAATCCGGTCCCTCTTCAATATATCGCTAATTTGTTCGATAAACTTTCATTTAGGGCGTCCCTTCCCGACTCACTCACTTCTGCAACATAATTTTGATTTGTCACTCTTTCCTCGTCCATTCTTTTTACATGACGGTCGTTTTAAATGATTGTATGTATGTCGATTTCTTTGGGACGCTCAGTAGCTTAAACGGCTTTTTGAATTTTGAAATATAGGGCGTCGTTGGATTCATCTTACTTGTGGAATTAATATAGTGTGTATCAAATGTTTTCTCCTTTCAGTAGTATTTTTACGAAATCATTTTAATTATTATTTACTATACTGCTTATTTTCATACTAATAATACTAATAAAAGAATATCCCCCAAAACTGAATTTCGGTCGCGGCGGCCAATTTCAACAGACCATCTGCCCAGGACAGGATACTCTCATAGTCCGGTGGAAAAATAATGTGATACGACCGGAGAGTGATCAGGTGCAGGATCAAACTTTACGTATTTTATTTTAAGAAATGTTTTTGTGAGCAAGTCACAATGTAAAAAATTTCATACTTTTTCATTTTACATAATTATCATCATTATCACAGCCCATCGCAAGTCCACTACTGAACATAGGCCTCCCCCAAGCAATGCATCGATACATGATCCTGTGACACCTGCATCCTCCATCGATTTTCTGCATCTCTTACCAGGTTGTTAGATCTCTTTCTTTTTCCAGGTTTGCATGAAATTCAATGTGAGTTTACCGTTATCGTTAAAGCCTACCACAAGTCAACTGCTGATTACAAACCTTCTTCATGGATAACCTCATATTTACTATAGTTGCTAGGCTAAGCTGGCGAGTTGACAACCGCAGTTTTTATTTTTAGTTCTAGTTTATTTGCCACGGTCGCCTCTTACGATTACGTGGGTGTCCTACAGTATGGTAGTGGTATATTCGTACACTGCCACACGGTCAATGCAATGGCGTAGTAGAAATAAATTAATGTTAATTTATTCATTCGTAAAATTATGAAATACATCGCGATTAGTTCTTAAATAGGTCACTGCTAAAACTTGAATTCCTACTAAGCACTTTGACAGTGTCACACAGCATGATCTTAAATTGTCTGCATCAATCGATTTCCCGCATCCTCGGGCAATCGTTTCATCTAGCCGACGGATATGCTGGTACAAGGCTACAACTCAAGAACTCTTTTTCCTTGAACATCAGTTTTGCGACGTACTAGAAAATGCGTTGGCAGTATTATAGAATCGTCATTCGTCACCCCATTTAGTCCTGGGATCGTATTTGGTTGCTATGGAAAATTTCAGGAAGAATGAAAGGTTTCTCATTCGTCATTTAAGAATAATAATAATAATATTCTCCAGACCGAACTTCGGTCACGCGGCCAGTCTCAATGGAGACTAGCGATCTGTAGAGGACAGGATTATAGTGCACGAGTGTATGTGAAAGCACAAGTGCACTCTCTATTCCCTCACCCTAATAATCCGAAGGGAGAGTAAACTGACACGACCGGAGAGAGATCAGACACAGGACCAACGTCGCTTCCCGAGGCACGGGCATGAGACACCACTAACTCCCTGACTCCGGGCAGCTACTTCCCTCTATCTCTTAGTCCGATGGGACGATAATCCGACATGAATTACTGAGAGAGATTTTTATTTTTTATTTTAAAACTTTATTGCGTTCCCTAAGAAAAAAAAGGATACAAAACAGGAACAACTGCTTTACGTGCTTGGACAAGTGGCAATGAGATACTGCACATCTCAAATGACCCATGACACGTAGATTATATTCAGTTGTTTATAGTAAGTTGTTGATTGCTTGTATGGTCTAGTGTAAGTCGTAAGAACCACTAGTGATCATGCGGATTAAATCCCGGGTTGGCCAATAAATTCAGTTTTTAGGTTTTATTTGTTAAAAAACCCTTAGTAGCAACTTAGTGTCAGAAAGCTAGCGGTGTTTCAACCCGATCTCTCTCCAGTCGTATAGGATTAATGTTCCATAAGTGTGTGACCTGAAAACTAAGCTGTACAACCAGTGCGTGTTGCCAGTGATGACCTACGGAACCGAGACGTGGTCCTTCACTGTTGGCCATATGAGGACGCTCAAAGGCGCTCAGCGAGCTACGGAGGGGGCTATGCTCGGAGTTTCTCTGCGTGATAAACTTAGAAATGAGGATATCCGCAGTAGAACCAGAGTGACCGACATAGCCCAACGGATTAGTAAGCTGAAGTTTAGTGGCAATATAGCTCGAAGAACCGACAACCGTTGGGGAAAAAAGGTTCTCGAGTGGCAGCCTCGTACCGGTAGGCGAAGTGTAGGGCGACCCCCCACTAGATGGAGTGACGACCTGGTTAGACATGCAGGGTCGATGGATGCAGGTGGCTCAGGACCGTGCTTTGTGGCATACCTTGGGGGAGGCCTATGTTCATGATGATGATAATGATGATGATGTGTGTGATGTATGAGAGTATGAGTGAATTATGAGAGTGATGTAATGAAGGATACACCCGTGATTGCTCACACACTAATACACTTTAATCCTGTCAAATGGTTACTCGCCGTAAGGACTGGCCGACGTGACCGAAATTCGGTTTGGTGGAGATTGTCACAATGAATTTTTACTACGTAGATAGTTGCTAGTAATAAATTACTTGATATTTTAGGAATAATCAATAATATCTTATGTACTTTCTCCAGGCGGCCGCCAAACTTAAACAGACAGAAGGTGTGGTCATATTAACAGTATGCAGTCCGAATATGAAGGATCCAGATAAAGAAGACCCTTCAGGAACCTCAGGTATGAATATGATCAGCGTGAGATAGTATATCGTTGAGATAGTATAGTAGCCCACTGCTGATTTGCCATAGTTGGCACGCTTGGCAAGTGGGTTGGCAACCGCGGTTTTTTAATTTTATTCGTTATTAGGGTGACGCTGCTAACCATCTCCTGATTTGTTTCCCTCTGTCGCCTTTCACGACAACCACGGGATATGGGATGAAGACATGTGTCATTCATTCATTTCTAACGACCCGCTCATTCAAATATTGATTCGTCTTACGAACCAGGTCATTCGAGTCAATCATTCAAATGGATCATTTCGAGTTTTAATACTCTGTGATTTGTGAGACCCGCTCAATAATATCGGTCGTTGGACATTACTATATTGTTTGGTCGTAGGTCCTGTCAATCATTTGATCCGGAAAAATCAAACAATGTAATTTCAATCATCAATACTTCGATGTGACCCAGGTCAAATGAACGAATCATTCACGATTGACACATGTCTAATGCGGTACTGGATAATTTTAGCCTAATATTTCGTCATCTTTATTATAATGGAATTTTCGCTCGTAACGACTGATTCCATTAATTAGACATTAATTTGTATGTATCTATTATTATTTTCTTGTTTCAATTTTGAAATTACTCAGAAGATTTTGATATAATAATATTTTATTTTCAATACCAAAGGGAATCAAACTCCAGACGCACTATCCGCTGGCGCTTCCCGACCGCAGACACCGAGGCCTTCGCCTGCAAAAGGTAAATCTGATTGTTTGCCACCACAATAAGTAGACTTTTTTAAGTTTTTTTTTTAAATTATAATTACAATATATTTCCTAAGTACTTTAAGGCAGTGCTTTAGTACTATAGTTCGTGCCAAATCGATTGAGAAAAATGGACATTGACCTTTCGGTCGTTTAACCAGGGGCTACAAACCATCAATATATAGGCAATTTTTATACCTTGTACTTTATTTATTTATAATGATTTTTTATTTTTTTTATAATGATTGATATAATATATATTTATTAACTATTATTAAAAAGTTATGTAAAAGATCGCTGTAGAAGAAAAATCATCTATTGTTATAAAGCACTTTATTCATTTAACAACAAAAAGCATTAATTTATAACACACATAAAGATACGAGTGATAACGACACCGAATAAGTACGTACTTATTCAAAAGATAAAACTTTATTTTCAATATTATATAAGAACTTTATTTATTTTTTCGGTGTTTGCCGGCCTTTCGGATGAATTTGCAAAAGCTCAATGTGGTGATTATTTTGCTTCAAATATTTTTTTTAATATGAAACTGTTATTAAATGAATTGCTGCGTTACTTACCATAAATTGAATATAAAATATAACACATTTTTCGCGATGTACCGTAAGATTTTACGATGTATATAGGAACCACAGACAATATTACAGAAACAAAAATAAAACGCAATGCTGACCTAGAAGTGTGAATAATATCAATATTTAAATATTGTTATTGTGGCGGCGCTGTCGTCGCGCCGCAAGCGAAACACACCGAAGCTTAAATTACGCTATCAACATTCCGAATCATAAACAGCATACTGCCCCCCAAAAAGCACAAGTAAATATTTATGCACATAAAAAAGAAGAATATTGTGGGCACAAACCAAACCCCAACCCCAACCCTTTGTAAAAAAAAAAAATTTTTTTTTTTTTTTTATTGAAAAAAAAATAAAAAAAAAAAAAAAAAAACCCAAAAAAACTTACAGTTACTTTCCATTTTATTTTTTTTTTATTGTATAAGTTTTGTTGGGATTTTATTTATTTTTATTTATTTATTTTTTGAATATAAAAATAAAAAAAAAAAGGAAATTAAAAAATTTTATAGAACATCTCCGAACTATCACACGGAGTGTTGGCCGCTCCCCGGGCAGAACACCTTGCCCGGCGGGAGATCTCCCCTTTTCCTTCCACGGCCACAGTTATCACATCTAAATTGAGATTTTGTAAGTTAAGCCTTTTGACACTCTGCTCATATCTGAGGTCATCGTCCGTTTTTCTCAATCGATTTAGCATGAACTATATACTTGCACATAGGCATGCACACACACACACGCTACCTCTCTATCTCTCTCTCTTTCACACACACATATATATACGCACGCACACCCACGTATGCATATACGCACGCACACCCACGTACGCTTACCCGCACTTACTATGCAAAAAATATGTCCAATTACAAGCTGTGAGGAATTTCATCTCAGTTCTCAAAGACGCGTTTGTGGCCATTTGTATAAGTTTGTTTGCAAATGCCCATAAGCTACCGAAGCTATCATCACATGAAATACATATGATTAGTTTATTTATCGCTCGTAAGTAAATTGAAAAAAATATCAGGCAGCCTCGTACCTATAGGTGAATTGTAGGGCAGACCTGGTAAGACATTCAAGAAGTCGAAGCAGGCAGGCAGATGACTTGTGAAGGGCTGTATTTTTCAGGTTCACGCCAGTAGTCGAATGGCGGATTCGAACCCACGACCTTTTTGAGTTCGCGGTCCGCGCACTGCCATTAGCCAACTGTCGCTTCATAATTTATGATGATGTCTACCTGTACGTGAGAGTCACAATGATGTTAATATTAGTAAGTAAGTTTTTTGTATTGAATACTAGTGGTAGTAGTAAAAAGGCTCTCCATTTCTCTACACTCACTATACGAATCACGGTAGCATTGAGCTGCCATTTCACGCGCGGTATTCTGTGATAGCGTGGTCCTTCCCTCGTCGAGCCAACCATAATAAATCTGCGGCATTGATTTACCACCTTCAAAATATTAAAAAAATAGTCCTGGCTCTTAGGATATAAATCCAATTATGACTTAAATTGATTATTTAACTGCCATTAAGCTCAATAATAAGACGTCTTTGTCCATCATTGGAATTTATAAATTCTGAATTATTGCAGCGGAACCACCTCCCGATCCAGCGACAGCTCAGATAAAGCCCAATCAAGAGATGGTGATCGAGATTAACTCGGCCAACGAGAATCTCGGGATTATCCTTTTGGGCGGAAGTGATACCTTGATTAACGTAAGTTATGTAATTACATAGTTCTATTGTGTTTTTTTGAATAGTCCACATTTAAATTAACACATGAAATTAGAATATTATAGAAAGGATTAAAAATTATAGACAACCTTACAATGCAATTCAAATAAGAATATTCGATCACCGCCAATGACCGCGATCTGTCAAATGTCACTTGAAAAGTACAGCTTGCATAAAATCCGTATTAATAACATTTTCGTTTTCGCTTAATTAATTGAGTCTTAGTATTTTAAATACCTACATAAATCTTTGTTATCTTTTATAAAAGAAAATAGCAGTGATGACAATAATGACACAGGCAATGATGTAAAGATTAGTGGCGAAGCCTCCATATAAGCCGAAAAGCCGGGCTTGCCCGCTGCTGCTCAGTCAATAATATCAACTAATAAAATAGCTCGTAACCTGTTTCAAACTATTTCAAAATTTCACGCGCGCTGCTCTGTTCTACACAAGTCATAAAAATGTATGGCGTATGTGATTTGATTGGATTAAATGGAGTTCTCAGATCATTATCTTATTTTCAGGGAGCAGCGGCGGTGATATTAGACATTTATAAGAACGGAGCTATAGACAAAGATGGCCGACTTAAAGTCGGAGATCAGATTCGCGAGTGCAATGGCATAGCGATCACTAACAAAATGGCACACGAGAGAATTTGCTTGAGCATTAAAGTGCGTGCTCCGAAGGTAAGTTCAAGAAAAATCACATTATATACACAATTAAATTTTAATCTAAATTGGTACTAAGATATAACCAGTTAAAATAAATTTAAACGAGAATTGAATACCTAAATATGATCACTAAATACATATTTTGAACTATTTTTTAATGTTCATAAAAAGTTAAATAAAACTAGCACAATGCTTATAAAGTATGATTGATAACATACATTAACTTAAAAAAAATTATATTTATGCTTATGCAACTACACATTACTGTTCTGTGGGCTAGTTGCCACGCTTGGCATGCGGTTTGGCAACCCCCTTTTTAATTTTTTAGTTGTCATTAAGAAAACGCTACTTACTGCGTACTTCCTGGTTTGTGTCCGCCTGTCGTCTCTTACAAAAGCCTCTGAATGATAACATAGGGTAGTGAATATTTGATAGAACTAATTTTAAAAACTTTATTGATGCTCTTATGATGCTGCGAGTATCCGAAACCTGGGGAATTCAAATAATCTTAATTAAACGCAAATTAATATAAAAAAATATAAAAAGGGTCTTTTGTTCTCTACACACACCATACGAAACACAGCAGCATTAAGCTTGCTACGGGTATCTCACGCTGGTATACTGTGAGAGCGAGGTACTTCCCCGATCAAGCCGATCCATTTGTATCGCAACTATAATAAAGCTGCAGCGTGTAACTACTACAAATAGAAATCTATACCAACCATTAATGATGATGACGTTGATGAACCTTATTGCAGTTAAAGCTGACAGTGTTCCGACCCGATCCGATCCAGTACGATGAGGTGGAAGTGGAGCTGTCCAGAAAAAGTGGTCGCGCCCTGGGTCTGGCGTGTGTAGCGCCCATACAGGGTACCGGCGTGTACATCGGCGAGCTGGTGAGCATCCTTCATCACACACGATCACAACCTAACAATTTTTTTATAGATTATTCTATCTCTTATGGCTGAAAAACGAGCTATGAATTCCGACTAAAAAAGAATGATTTAAAAATCAAAACATCATGTCAGCGCTTTCTCTTCTTATATATATATATATATATATATATATATATATATATATATATATATATATATATATATATATATATATATATATATACATAATACATACATAAACACTCACGCCTGTCACCCAGAGGGGTAGGCAGAGACTACAGACTTCCATTTAGCACGATCCTGACATACCTTTCTCGCCTCTTCCACATCCATATACCTACGCATACATGCTCGTCGGTTAAGGGTACTCTTAATTTGGCCCATTTTAAGTATATCGCTAATTTGATCGCCAAACTTCCGCCTAGGACGTCCCTTTCCGACTCTTCCATTCACTTCTGCAACATATATTTGCTTTGTCAGTCTTTCCGCATTCATTCTTTCTACATGACCAAACCACCGAAGCATTCCTTTCTTAATCTTGGTCACCGCATCATCTTGCAAACCACACTCTTCTTTTATCACACAGTTTCTCACCCTGTCACTCAGATTCAGCCCTAACATACTCCTTAGCGACCGCATTTCTACTGCATTTATTCTACTCTCGTGCTTCTTCTGCCACACCCAACTTTCACTACCATACGTTAAAGTAGGGACTAATACAGCACTGTGAATTGCCATACGTGCCTTTATATTATATATATATATATATATATATATATATATATATATATATATATATATATATATTAAATAAATATGTAAATAAAGTTTGGTGTGCATCATCCTCAAGGAAAAATTTTATTTAGGCATTAATCACTTAATTCGGGTGAGAATATAAGTTTCTTTGCAGCATTACGAGAGATAACAGTTGGATATTCAAGGTAAGAGTAGCAAGAGGTGTATGTTAAACCGATTATTACAGATTAGAACAACTCGAGACATGCTCATGTACGTCCGAAAGTGTTTTTGATCGAGCCTTCGGGTTGACTAATCATCAGGTAAAACTTGTCGGTGTATAATAAAACGGCTCCTAGACATCTACATCTGTCCTCTGTTAAGAATCAAAATGCATATGATTTGTCATTCCTGAGGAATAAGATGGAATGCTTCTTGGCTTAACATTCTTTAATCATCATTATTCATTATCACAGCCCATCAAAATCCACTGATGATCATTCACCTCTCCCATACATGGCCTCATAGAAATTTTGGTATAGTTACCGCTTAGCCGGCGACTTAGTATCTTAAATTATCCAGTGTCTACTTGTGTAGATTGCCATATGGCATTAAGTCTGCAATTTATATTTCTTATTATAAGACGTATCATCATCAACATCATCATCATCATCATCATCATTACAGCACTTCACAAGTCCACTGCTAAACATAGGCCTTCCCCAAGGAATGCCACAAAGCATGACACTTGGATTTAAACACGAAGTACAATATATATGGTGTCCTAAAATTACTTAATAATAAAAGAAAAAATATATAAAGTTTAACAATAAGCCTTAAATCAATACTAAAAATTGTTTGAATATGGTTATGTTTATTTTGAATAACAAATAAATTTTTCCTTTGAGTTAAATTTGATATCTTCATTATTTAATGTACTTTCCCTCCATGTCCCGTTCATGTGTTCTATTTGTAATCATTAGTAAAGTAGTAAGTAAATATTGCGAACTCGTTTATCACTTCGGTAGTGATTTAAAAAAATGGTTTTAATAGCAAATTTCTCAAAAAGCATCAGGTGGAGCATAGAGATCTCTATGAAAGTAACACAGAATGTGTGTGTGTGTGTGTGTGTGTGAGAGAGGGAGAGAGATTAAAGCTGGAGCTATGTGATTACAGCTTCCCGGATCCGCGGCGGAAGTGGACGGTAGACTCCAAAAGGGAGATTTCTTGGTGTCAGTCGATGGTAAAGACGTCTCCAGTGCGGACTACTTAGGAGCTGCGACTGCACTGAAGCTCTGCGGGAACAAAATCAAAATCAAAGTGAAAAGGTTCAAAATTATTAGTAAATAATTGTAATTTATGTGAAAATATAGGGTTATAACTTATTATGCAATTTCGATTCTATGTTGTTTCATTTAAAATTAAAATTACTTTGCCATTAATGTCGATTATTTTACCATGTAAAATAGTATTTATTTGAACTAATTCTAAGTATGTTTCTTTAGTGTACACTTAAGTTTTATTTTCCTTTTTGCTTACAAGTTAAAATAGGCTTTAGTAATGTATAAAAAGAATTTAAATAAATGCGTAGGTGTAACTTAAAATAGAATTTATATACATAATACAATTAAAGATTGCGATTGTGTGGCATTTTAAGCTTGCATTTCATTGTTAATTAATAACAATAAAATAATTAATAAAATATAAGTTTTAGATTTATTTTTAAATTTGCCGTATAAGGATAAACAAAAATGATTTAATAACTGTATAATTTATGATTTCATTCCTCACTCTACACAACATTTGAATCTTTTAAAACAATCATACTTGCGAATGTTTTAGGTTATGCAGCTATTGTTGAATTCTGTTTTATTATATTCAAAAGAATAGTATGTACGTGACACTTGAATTTAACACCAAGTAGAATATATATAGTGTCCTAAAAGTACTTGTTTCTTTTTGCAATAATTCTTAAGAAGTATTTAATAATTGTTAATTATGTTTTAAGTGAACTATGTAAATATTTAAACCATTCATACCATTACTTAAATTATTATCAAAAATAACATAATATAATATAGTTATTTTTGAAAGATGAGTTAGTGCTTAAATTTTTCAATAAAGTAAGATGTTTTTTTATTTATTCATAAGTATTATTACTTTTTTGCATGTGCATACGAGTTGTTTTTATTTTAATGGTCATTTATGCTTAGATACATTCAAATCCCCTCCGGTAGGGCTGAGTATAATTATAAAGATCTCAATGAGAACGTTATTTTGGCACTAAAAAGTTTTTATATTTTGTAATTATGCATTTCCACGTATTAACTTGGTCGCAAATAGCTTAAATAGTTAGTTATGCTATCGATAAAAACATTTTTTCGATAGCATAACTAACCAGCTAAGAACACAATGAAAATTCTTAAAAATACTAATCGACTCATATTACCATCGCATCTGATTGAAATTGTTCATGGGACCACTATGGAGGTGTACTTTATAAAAAATATAAAAAAGTCACGCTTGCTCCTATTAGACAACGTACCGCAATATCTTTGATATCAAATTCTTCGATATTAGTTTTCTAATAGAAGCAAAGGTGACAAACCAGCACACAGTCCACCTTATGTTAAGTGAATGTTTATAATCCATTGACGCCTAAATTCTTATCCAAGATTTAAAATGCAGATGCATTGGATCCATCAAGATAGTGCTTCGTTCCTACTGAAAAGTTTCACTTTACATTCGGTATACAGCAGAATTATGCTGTTATTTTAGACTGGTATTCCGTGAAAATGTGGTCTTTCTCCGGTCGAACCGACATATTCGTGCGGCAATCATAATACAACTGCGGTGTTTTGAAGCGTTCAACTAACACACATTTAAAAAAAAATTCATACAATCGAATTCATAAACTTACCTTTTTCTTAAATCGGTTCAAACTATCAAATGCCTACTCGAATAAAGGACTTCTATTCATTAAAACTACTTTTACGGATTTTATCACGTTCAATTTTACTTTTAATTATTTTTATTTTTAATTCCCGACGTTTCGGGTACTTTCCAGCACCCATGGTCACGGGGGACTGAGGTGACTGATGTCCCAAAGTCATTGCGAAACGTCGGGAATTAAAAATAAAAATATTTAAAAGTAAAATTAAACGCGATAAAATCCGTAAAAGTAGTTTTAATCAATGTGTAGTGTTCGCGTAAATATAAGAAATCATTCTTCAAAGAGACCATAACTTTATTCAAAGGACTTCTATTAAGAAATGTTTCCAAGAAAAAGAAAAACATGTTAGCTTATTTTATATGACCTCATATTTTTAATTTTTACAATTACGCAACAGTACTCGCGATGTTTTTTTAATAACAGGAAAGTACTGCCAGTTACACCTTAAATGCCAGCGCACTTTAAATCACATACAAAAATTCTTTGGACGACCAGTTACAAAACATTTAAATAAACGGAAAGATTAGTACGTCGATTCCTGACATTAACATAAAGGACTAGGTATAAAAATTGTGCTTCGCTTTATCATTGGGGAAGTCTATCAGGGTTAAGTGTGATTCCGCTTTCGATAAGCTGTTTAACTTTTAATTTTGTATATCCCTAGCCCGTGGGTAATTTTTTTAACATGTCCGCCAACAGGAGCATACTGACCAATTTTAATGAAACCGGACACCTTTCTGTAAAATTTAAATTTGAGCAAATTTTACCAAGCTTTTGAGCTGAGACGTTCCTATAACCAATTCAAGGTAAAAATAGGTATAATGACAAATTCAAGGTATAATGTAACGATTGTTACCAACAGAATTTTGTCGTATGTCGGTAAATGTACCGAGTACATTTTTTATTATGCCAAAGTATTCTAATTCATAAACGTAATTAATTCATTTACCATTATTTTATAAATATAAAACTTCCCGATTTCTGGATATTTATTTTTTATTACTTATACATATAAAATTTATTAACATATCGTTTATTACCCTTTATACGACTTTATATGTACTCTATTTTTATCGATCATTGTGCATATTTACAATAGTTTCAAAAGTGACTAGACAATAAGAATTTTGAGTTGATCTTAACGGCTTTTACTATAGGAATATTACACATACTTAAGAAAAAGTATTTCACCTCAATTATATTCTAGAACTAGATCTTACAAATATATGCCTAGATCGTAAATAAGTGATAAATTTTCGCAGTAAATGTTACCTTACTATTTTCCATGTTCTTGCCAAAAAATATAAAAACTTTGTATTTTAACACAAAAACTTCACAAGGATTTATGCCAAATATTCAGATAATAATAAAAATAGTTCTTGTAGAGCTTTTTAGTTTTTTTAATACTTTCTGATGCGGTAGCCACTATTCTTAATGTATATTAATAATGAATATATTAGACAACTTAGACCATATTAAAATGATACATGCAAAGAAATGCGTACAGTAACACAATGTTTATTAGTAAACAAAAAAAAACAATTTAAACACACTGGTATATCTTGGTCAAATTTTTGATATAACAGAGAGCTATTTTTGTTGTACTTAATTAATGAATGACTTACATTTATCTATGTATTTAAATATATATAACATATAATTTGTTTTATAAATTCGTTCATTAAAGTTTTTAAAAAATATTTCATAACTCGTTAATTATGATTTTTTAAATAAAAATTATACAGTATTGTTATGATGTAAGATGCGTTAATTATATCAAATAAGATTTAATCTTCATTAAATTAGGCCGCAATAATCCTTTTCTTGTTAGTTTCAAACAATTTACAAAATTTTAACTTCATTTGTTTTGGTGTTTTCACGAAACTAGATTGTCAGATTAAAATAAGCATACGGTAACTGTGACTCACCTTGTATCATAATTATATACAAAATAGGCAAATACTGCTCAATAGCAAAATGTAGTGTCGAGCAGTTCACTAATTAAGTATATGTTATGGACTCTGTTTTATACATGTGTGTAGGATATTATATTTATTTATATATAATTTAATTTTATATAACCGGAGAATTAATTAATAATTTTTAATTCAAAAATAAAAGTGTTAAGTCTGTCATGTGTCGACCATTCGCAGTTAAAAAATGTTGTAACTCTACACTGTTTCAGGTTGAAATTCAATAAAAAGTTATCTGTGTATCTATTTATTTGTCTTGTGTTAAAGGCACTACACAAGAATTTTTCATTTTAAAGTACATTGTGAATGACCTCAATCAGTGCTAAATCATCATAGCGATATATTAATTAATTTCTTTCATAAATCTAGTCCACTTTTCTATAATAGTGTTTAAGTGTAATATAATAAGTAGGCAAATAAGATAACGTGTAAGGAGAAAGTCAGAAAGAGAAAGCAGATATTAACGTGAGGTGGATAGATGTTGCGTGAGGTTCAGGACTGCAAGTATGCGCATGGTTTAAATCTGAAAAATAACTAAATAAAACCGTTTATACATGTTTAGTATATTCATCTGCTAAAGCTGCATGATGATGAAACCTAGATGCGACATGATGTAGAAAATCTTGTGTTCCAAAAGCTTAATCAATAATAATTGAATTTCTTGTTTAAAGTTAGTAAACGGACAAATTTACCCAAAATATAGTCTTGAATTTCTTAATCTTTTGTTAAAATGATGTGTTTGATGTGAACAAAATACACGTCACACTAGGTAGTACATAGATTCCTTAGTTTATAAATAGTTTGATGAGTTTTCGGGAGAACTTGACAGTCGACGAAGTGGATTTTGATACATTAAGAGGCGCGACTTTATGTACTTTACGTCTGCACGTGATGTGAACTATGTTACAATTTCTTCAATGGGGCTTTGAGTTATTATCGTCATCATCCGTCCACGATGTTATCTGTTGTGTAAATCTCCCAAGAACTTCGTATTGTGACACATCAGCGTAATAATTTGTATTAAGTAGGTAATACATGTAAGTAATCAGGTTAGGCTCTATAGTTTAAGACCTATGCCTGTTTTAATTGGCGGGCTCTGTCACATACGGGTAAAAATTAAATAGGTAAAACGGTTTATTTACATTTATATATATTATACCGCCCTTATGTTTACAGAAAGTTTTATTTTATTGTTATTGATTATTCCGTTTAATGAATAAATTAAAATAATTGGTAACACACGCGGTTTATTTGTGGTTTATATTGTGTACAGCAAAGGAGAATAATTTGACTTCAATCTTGAATCTCTCTCATGAAAGCCAGCCGATTACATCTTAAGTTAAAAATTAATAGGTTTTTGTGAAGCTATAAGTCAGTGCGCTTTACAATCTTCGGCGATATCACCACTTACCATTAGGTAAGGT